ATAAGCCTGACGTTAAGTTTACAAATGTTACATAAATTATAATTTTATATCTTTAAGAAAACTCACAAGTGTTGAAACGTCTTTTGGAAGCCAATATATATCGCACATTACTCGGTTGGTATCACAAAATAAGGTAAATCCAAAGAAAAGAAAAACCTATTTATTTGGTTGTCCGACCTGGTGGATCAATTCAAGCAACATCTTTCAAAGCAAAAATGCATAAGTCACCCAAATCATATTTGATGTCATTAATTCGCTTTCTCAGACTCATTTTCTCCACTTTAATTATTCTGTAAAGAAATATTAAAAAAGAATTAGGCTACATAATATATATCTTTTCAGACATGACATTTAATTATTGCAAACTCTATTTTAGAATGAAACTTTAAAAGAAAAAAAACATGATTTAATCTATTGAATAAAATACCATTATCGAGATACAACTATACGCAAGCGTTGATTTCCTTTATATAGTGTAGCGCGTTAAATGCTAACCTGTTCGTCAGTTAGATTCCTTTGTTAGCGATATGCTCCTTGTTAAGAACATTCTTTTAAGATGCGTCTTAAGAAATGTTTCTCTAATGTATTGCTGATTTTATTCATTCTTTTATTGCAATTGTATTCGAATATCGACGCTTTAAACTCGTGATAATTCTGTAAAGTAATCATGTATCTTGCTTTGATAGTATCTTATTTGCATTCATATATCTTTGCGGTAGATGCAGCAAGCACTTCAAGCGGTTTTAACCCAGCTCTTAACTGTTGCTTATAGTTTACTATATTATGCAATAAGATTTGAATGATATATTTTGGTTTCATTTCACATTGATAATGTTTCCTAACTCGAAATGCATCTATATTGTTTAGTATAAATCTGATTTGGCACAAATTTAAGCCCTATGTACTTTTCGAAACGTTTACATGATTCTCTCTTCAATTGTATGCATTATCATGGCTGTTAAAGTATAGACCTCTTACATCTTCATACCATGACAAGCATCTTGTAAATCAATCTAACATACCGTCCCTAATAATCATAAATAACAGCTTCCAGACGTTATTCCTTGCCATAAAACTTGTACAAAAGCTACTTAACAAATAAACTAATCCAAAGTAAACTCACACATTTATCAACCTATATACTATGCCAAAGTGACAATCTAAATGTAGTCAACATATCTACTCTCCACAATATATACCGGTTGGAAAAGCAACAATTTGCATTCCTGCCTGCTGATTTAAATTTTCACGTATTAATTAAAACAGGATGTTGCTTACTACCAGGACATGGAGCACGGTGCATATATGACTGTCAGATGTGTCAAAAGATTAAATCAGCAATGCGACAGAGTCATCGTAAGTGCGCTATTGCAAATACATTGTACATGAGCTCTCTGGTAACCTGCATATCTTAGTTTGCATCAGAGTTGTGCGTGGTGAATTTAGAACTAGTAAGCCTAAAAACCGGCATACGCACCATTTGGTTTCTTTCTGAATCTAGGTCGTTGATCAGATTATAATTTCTGCTGTAAAAGTTATAAAATAATAGCTTCTAGTACAAACTTTAGGTCATTCTCCACACCAAACAATATGGATACATGTTATGTAATCTGATTTGTATTGGGTGTTAGCATTCGTTAGACCGCTGTGTTGGCCTAGTGGTTAGAGCGTCGGCTTTGGATGCGGCAGCTCTTGGGTTAGAGTCATACCAAACAATTAAACAAATTTTACTAACAGCTTCTTTGCTTGGCGCTCAGCATTAAGCGGTAAGTGTTAGGAGTGGTTGTCTAAGTGTCAGGATAATATGATTGGGTGAGACATCATGATAATGTCTTAGGCATGATGCCCCAGTGCTAAATATCACTATAAACTGTCACATTGCAGATATCGTAGCGATGTGACCGAAACAAATGTTAAAGCTACGTTAAAAATCTAAACCACACTGACACACAGTTTTATAGCGGACCATATTATTTCGTCTTTTTTATTCTAAGGAATGAACACGTTAATTTGTAGCTATTTACATGTTGAAGTTTGCAACGCTTGTTATTTCTCACATTTTTCTATTAGTTATTTTAACATGATATAATAGGGTGAATGGTTGTATTTATTCTGCATCACTATTCATTCCACCTAAATCTATGGAGTCATCAAATTAGATTACGAAGTTAGGGTTAATCCGTATGAAATTTCAACAAGGAACGCGACGACGTCTACTTTAACCTGCTTTGTGATGTCGCTTCATTAGTTCCTTGTTAAATCACCAAAAACAATATTTGAGTTATGAAATTCCGAATAATTTTCAAAAAATGTCTTTGCCCAAGAATGCGGAAGAACAAGGGATAAAATTTCTATGGAAATAACATTTAATTCTGAAATATAGAAAAATGCAAATTAACCTGCCAATATCAAAGACGCCTTTGAAATTAACGGTGTGAATTAAGGCTGACCAAAAATCACTACGAAACATCAGTTTTAGTCCTAATTAGCAAAACGGATCACCTAATAAGGTCACCTTATCACTTTCTTTCAAGAGACGTAGCAAAATTATATGCCAGATTTCACCTCCGCATTGGACTAATTTTAATTGTACTGAACAAATCTTACCCTAAGATTCAATAATATAAACAAAATATAAAATTTTGCTTACTACAAAGCTGAAAATCACTCTGAATCTAGGTCAGTAAAGGATACAACTTTCAAACTTCTGACTGTTTATCAGATCAAAAAGAACGGAACTGAATTTTCCCCAAAAAATTCCAAATCCAGAAAATAAACCTCTCATTGTAATAGCATGCAATCAAAATAAAAAATAAAGTAATATAAAACAAAACTAACACAAGCAAATAACTTAAATATACATAACACTAGAAATAGTTAATGTTTTATAGCTGATGCATTTATTTTGCGTGTTTAAGTTGTTTCCTATTACCTTGGCAATGTCAGAATTTCAGGACTTTAATACTCAACTGAACAAGAATAATTTGCAATAGTTGATACTATTCTTATATATTATCTATTGGGTTATGTTTATGCGTAATAAGTTCTAGAGAATTTTGTATGCCATGCAAAGTAGCTAGTTAACTAAGATATATGAGAGAAGTATGATGAAAGAGTTTAACATCGGGAAAAGCCAATATAGCGCTCGCAATTCATACATGATATTAAACTCGTTACATGCATGTCTTTTGCTGGCAAACAAAAACACATCTTCTATCAAATATATCTAAAGGTAAATGTTTAAAACTAAGGTTCGTATACATACTTATACTTTTAATCACGTGTTTAAAAGACAAGTCAGTTATATATATATATATATATATATATATATATATATATATATATATATATATATATATATATATATATATATATATATATATATATATATATATATATATATATATATATCGTTTTATATAGGCATTGGTTAATCATTACTTCCTTCTCACGTATACATCTAACCACTATATATTTTCATAGCTTTGTATATACGTTATGCATAAGCATTGGTTGAATTAGGTATTTTGTTTGTTTCAATTTTTCGTCCAGTATAGGTACATCATTACAGCTTTTATGCGTTATAGGTTCAATAATAAATATTGATTTACCATTAACTCAAATCTTTCAATCGCCGTTTCAATTTTGTTACATTTGCAGTTAACATTTCAGACACATGTGTATGGATTATAAAGCATAGTAGTATATAAGGAGTGATACTAAGTGATCCATGTGTAATATCTATTGCATTACATATTTACTTCCTTTTCGTATGTTTTCCAAACCCTAGAACGGAAATTTACAAATAGAAGACAATAGTTACGATCTTCAACCAGCTGCCGACTCATCTGGACACCTCATGGAAATTCCGGATCTTATTGGCAAGCGATATCTTCTTTTGAACCAAAACAATTTCCAGCTAGAAAAGTTAGACAAAAATATAGGTTTGTAGTGTGATATTATTGCATATACATAAACTATTATTTTTTAAATGACATATTCAGACACATATTTAGCATGTGTCTTATAGAAAATTAGATATTGTGCAAAGGTTCAGTAATACGGGAAATGAAAACGGTATTACATATAAACAATAATTTCTTTTCTTTTCTCATCTAAAGTACTTGTTTTAATTTCAGTTGGGCACATCATTACTATAATTCATTTAAACATATCTGACTTAATTTGTTTCTATTGAGTTGCAAAATGAATGATCTTTGGGGAAAGTTTGAAAACTCCGGCTTAAATTCCTATTAAATATTTCCTTGCATGCATGAAGAGAAAATGACATAACGAAACGCATTAATATAAATAATATAAATTTTACCTTATCTAACGCTCTCTTTATATGATAAAAGTATATTATGTTTCTGATACAGCAATAATTAGAGGGACCAACCAAGCAAAGACACATCAGACTCTTTCCAAAGGTTTCACAGGACTGGAAAAGCAAAACCACTTTAGTCGCCTAAATCATTCTGGAAATGTTGAAATATTACGTGATCGAGAGGAAACAGGTGAGAATAGTTACTATGAAAGAAGCTGAGAGGATGGTACAATACTATCAGATATGAAGATGGTCTGATAGCTCCTATTAAAGAATGATAAATTCATATAAAGAATATCATTTCCGTGTAATATTATTGACCATTACATGCCTTATGGCAATATGCATGCAATAGCATAGCAATATGCATACAAACTGTTGTAAACATTATTTCATCAATGCAATCTAAATTAATAATTGAACTGTATAGAATAAAATTTTTTATTTCCAAATTATATCCACAGATAAAAATCGTCAGTTGAAGGAACACTACTATGTCAAGGTCGCTGTACTGATAGATTCAGGAGTATTAAAATTGTAAGTGCTCTCTAAATCCATAGTTTATCCGTAAATATGCGTAATAGTTTAACCGAATGAAATGTTCAAACATTATGTTTATGTAACAAGTTCATGTTAGAAAGATAGTAACACTATTTACTGATAATTTTTAACCGCTTCGATGGCCTAGTGGTTAGAGCGTTAGCACTAGATGCGGGAGGTCGTGGGTTCGATCCCCGGTCGAGTCGTACCAAAGATTTTAAAAAATGGTACTAGCAGCTACCTCGAATGACGCTCAGCACTAAGAAGCTAGTGTTATGACTGGTTGGCCTAGTGTCAGGATAATGTGACTGGGTGGGACATCGCACTGCATGTCTGCGGCATGAACTCCCAGTGCTAGACATCACTATTTACTGCCACAATGCAGATATCGTAGCGATATGACTGAAAAATTGTTAAAGCTACGTTAACAATAATAATCACATAATCATATAATGATTTTTGACTTCATGGTTCCGACTTCTTATCTAAAACTAAGACCGCTATAAAAGAGAGCATTTGACCCCTAATGCTCTCATTTTATTATGCATTGAGCATTGAGCTTGTATATAAGGGTCTGATAAACAAACGTTTTAATTTGTGCTTCAAGTTCAGTTTCTTTTGATTCTTATTTTTCTTATTGAAACCCAAGGAATCATAGCAGAAATCGGAGCCAGATCCGGGTCGAAAGTTTTTTATATGCTTCTGATAAATTAAAATTGAATTGGACGTTTACACTGATTTCATTTAGAATTTTAAATCTACATATTTAAAAAAGTTAGTGGAACAAAGAAACATTCTCAACGTCATCTAATTTAGTAATTATGTTTCCGTCCCTACCCAAAAGATGTTAAATCTTATAAAACATGATCAGTTTACTTGACCTTGCTAGACATTGGCTGTTTCGGAAGAAAAAGCACCTTTTATAAAACAATAAAGAAAATGATTTGTTTAAGAATTCGGTAGGAAAATCGGGGGTAGGGGAAATAACGTGCTTGATTAGAAAGTCTGTCTAGGTTCTTGATAAGAAATTAAGAGACTTACAGTTAAATAATCAATACGAATTGGAAATATCAAAACACCAATTTTAGAAAGAAATTGTGGATTTGCAACTTGTAGATGAGAGGAGATACAAGTCTAAATGGAGAGAGAGAGAGAGAGAGAGAGAGAGAGAGAGAGAGAGAGAGAGAGAGAGAGAGAGAGAGAGAGAGAGAGAGAGAGAGAGAGAGAGAGAGAGAGAGAGAGAGGAGAGAGAAAGAGGGAGAGAATTAAAAGCTGAAAGGCAAAGCAAAAATACAAATGAACCTCAGAGCATCAGAACTGGCAAAGGAAACATATCGTACCCCTTTAATCGCAAGTTCAGTAATTATGTTACGTGAAACATTATGGTAGTACAACTTTTTCTAAATAAAAACAATGATGACTACTTTGTATCGAAAAGAGAGACAGATTTTATTATTACAAAATGGAAGTATTGGCAGACCTCTTGAAGTTCACAAATTGGTGTCGGTACAACAATGTACTACTGATGATGTGTTTAAATAAGACATTTTGAAGATATGAGATTTCGTACAAAAATATAAAAATATTTAGAAATTGTAGAAAGAATCCTTGCATATCCTTCTCAAATTTTCAAGGTAAAAAACCCCAAAGGTTTAATAGGAAGTGTTCTGCCTTAAAAGTTGATTGAGATTATTATGACCACATACATCAATAATTACTAGTAATTCACGAATTTTGACCTTGCTTATCTTAAGACCTATATAGATAAGCATATGATCGATACGTCATAAAAGTCTACTTGAATGGTAATTACGTGACTCACAAACTTCCTTTTGTTAAAGTTTCATTCAAAATACGTTTTTACTCATTATGGATGTTTATAAGCAGGTACACTGGAGAATTATTTCATTATTATTTCATATCTTCTTACTGTAATATCACATTCATCATACGAATTTAATCTTGTGTTAAGATACGTTTTGAAGGAAGAATTTGTTATTGGTTATGTGTTGGAATTATAAAATGCTCTTTAGACTAATCTATTGCTATGGGGCTAAGGTGAATTCATTGAAAGGACAAATGGATAATGAATTTGTGATATATAAGGAATGTTGGCGGACAAGTACATTCAAATATCTGGAAAGACTCTAGATAGATATATAGATAGATCGTAAAATAGATAGATAGATAGATAGATAGAATCGTGCAGAAACTTTTCAAAATTGTTTTGGATTCAAATCATAGCGTTTGAATATCCTCTAATTTTTTTAAAATAACTTTGATGACTAAATTATTCATCAAATTTATAACACTTATATGTTTCGCTGCTTACTATTACTTAGGTTTTGATCGTAAGTCGTAAAAGAAATTGTGCGCTAATCAGAGATTCGAATTCAGAGATACTTCAAATATATAAAATTATTTTGGAATATAAACTTATTTTGTTAGCTAATCAACATTGTTTGCCTGTTTTAAAGGTGAAGTATTTTGCTTTAGATCTTACCCTTGACGATTTGGAATGTTGAAAAAGTATAAATGTTTGGAGCTTTTTACCCAATATCAAGTTTTGGACGTAAACCTTATTTGTTTAAACAAGAAATAAAACTATCTTCGTAAAAGGAAAGAATATTTTCGAGTCCCATGTCTTTTAGTTTAATTAGTAAACATAATTTCGCCTCATAAATAAAAAAATAAATAAGTAAATAAATAAATAAATAAATAAATATATATATATATATATATATATATATATATATATATATATATATATATATATATATATATATATATATATATATATATAATATAATATAATATAATATAATATTATATAATATAATATAATATAATATAATATAATTACAAAATCAGCTCTAAAACTATCTTCGTAAAAGGAAAGAGCATTTTCGAGTCCTATGTCTTTTAGATTAATTAGTAAACATGATTTCGCCTCATAAATATATATAATATAATTACAAAATCTGATCTAAAGATTATAAAACGACCGTTTCAAAAAGACATTATATAAATACAAATTCAGAATTAGGAATATGTCAACTGCAAAATTAGAACGCATACAAGGAGAAACAAATTCAAATGTCAACAGTGGAAAAAGGGACAAGTATATATTCAGATTAAAAAAGACAACAGTGGGAGCATTTCAGATGAAATCGTAGTGCAGATTGACCATAAGGAGCTAGAAAATCAAGTTTAAAAGTACGAGAGAGAGAGAGAGAGAGAGAGAGAGAGAGAGAGAGAGAGAGAGAGAGAGAGAGAGAGAGAGAGAGAGAGAGAGAGAGAGAGAAGCGGCAGATGAAAATGACAAAATTATGAAAAATATATGCAAACTAATTGCAAACTACTCACAAATATTTGCAAACGTAATTTCAGATAAAAAAGAAGATATATGGTTGGAAATGCAATTGGCATTAAAATAATTACAACTGACAAGCGAAAACCGCTCAACCCACGATATTAGTTTAGCAACCAATCCAAAGAAAGAGAAAAAGCTCAAACGTTTCATCAATTGAGAAAAAGAAACAGCTGAGAATTAATAAGGGTGAAAGAGCACATAACTTTGATATCATGGAGATAACTAATTGCCATGGCTCATAAACTGTATTTTTAAAAGTTATTTGAATCAAGTACTAGTTGTGATTTGGTCATGGAATTATTTATAGGGCTGTAAAATGAAACATTTGCTCTATAAATATGGGTTTATGAACTTAAAGAAAAAACATAATTAAATTCATGTCGAGTTTGCTATGAAAACGAACAACGTTTTCACTGGTGGTGTGCATCTAAAAAATTGATAACCAATATGACTACCTTAAATGAGTGATATTAGTGTAAAAGGATAATACCATACTCCATAATGACATCATGAAGTACATCAATTAACACGATGTAGACACTGCTTGTACAGCTGATGACAAGTACTTGACTAAGAGAGTTTCATTTGGCACCAGGTATTCCTTTCAGCAGTTATTTAACAACTCATTTGAAAGAGAGCACACTCGGACAAAATTGATAAGAATCATACTGATAAATCTCATCAATAAATATTGTGTGCATTTATTGCTAGATAAAATAGCACCGTATTTCGCATTCCTATAGCGTAAAGAAAAAGCGACATAACAAAGACGAAAGTATTCCAAATGGTCTTGTTTCTTAGAGGTCATTATCATGGTCATGCATTAAAACCAATAATTTTGTTTGGAGCAATGAAGATGTCTCAGCCATTCATGTCTAAAGCTCTATGACTAATATCAATAGTTTGAGGTTGTCATATCACTTATTTTTGATTTTGCGGACCCGATCGCTAGTAAATTGTGAAGGGACACACGACTATCTGAACGATCCTTATTATCAGGTACTTTGCGTTTATTTGAAAAGTCTTCTAGAGAAAGTGTTTTTATTCACAAAGTAAATTCCGTCTTTGTTTATTTTTTTATCGCTGCACATATGGTAATATCGTATATAAGTTCTCCACCTGTTACCGTATCGGAGGTTTGACGTCTTTGTGTTTTGGATGACAGCTGGTTGCGAGGAGATACTGGTGTTTGTCGGTTGGTTTCGAGTAGATGTCTGTGTGTAATCTGTTTTCCACCAGTCTGGTTGTTGAGTTCAGGAAAAGATGGTTTGAGTTGGAAATTTCTGCCGTGAATTTTATTGAAGGATGGAAGTTGTTTGCATAGGATATGAAGTCTTCCAGAATTTCTCTTCCATACTGCCACTTCATTTCTATATCAACGATAAAGCGTACCTACTGGTATGGGGTACGCTCAACCGATGCTAAGAGCTGACCCTCACTGCATTAAGAACATTCCATATAGCCAGGCACTGAGGATACGCAGAATTTGCTCCGACGAAGAAAGATTCCTAGAAATGTCTGAAGAGCTGGCTAAACATTTAATTTACCGAGGCTACGACAAAGACCTGATTGCGGAGGCAATCCAAAGGGCCAAGCAAACAAACCGTGATGACCTACTCAGATATGGACAGAAAGAAAAGGTTGATAGGATACCATTTATTCTGACCTATCACCCAGACAATCCCAAAGTAGGTAAAATCATCGCAAACCACTGGCCAACCGTGCAATCGTCAGACATACTAAACCTAATACTTCCGAACAAACCTGTAGTAGCTTACCGGAGACCACAAAACCTAAAGGACATCCTAGTCAGGGCAAAGCTAACGCCAATCG